AGGGAATATGAGAATTGTCGTTCATTTTGGAAATTATTGTTCAAAACGTTGAAATAGTCTTGAAATGACTAATTGTTGAGGATACTTGAGAAGATGGAATTGTGTTATTCTTTGGATGATGAATTGGAATAAAAGTATTTATATTCATCTTGTGTTATTGGCATATCAATTCATTTGTTTACATTAAACTTTGAAAGTTGATTTGAAAATTTACATTGAGAAAAGAATGTTGAGAAACAAGTTTCCATGAATTGGTTTTGGGGTAAATACGGTGGTAAGTCTTAACAGGTGGTGTAGATGAAATTGAATAGGTGTCGAGTCTTCCAGTTAATACTAGTAAAAATGACAGATCATAGGTGTCGAGCCTTCCAGTCAATGTTGGTAAAAATGACAAATTGGTAGTACTAGTATAGTCTACTTGCAAACACCGACCTAGGGATTACCAGAATCGTATTTACCGCCCTTGAAATAAATTGTTAAGTTTTGAACAATTGAAATTGCATGATATCATTGAGCATGATGGTTTTCAAAAGATGAAAATGTGATTTATCTTCAAAAAGGGCATTTCATGGCATGTGCATTTCATCTCTTGAGACTTGTATAAAACGTATATACTTTGTTAAGAATTTCCTACTAGGCTTTATGCTCACCCTACAGGATTTTTTGTGCAGGAAAAGATGTGGTGATCCCACCTAACTAGGGGCGTGGAAATATGTGTGTTGGGAGTACAATGCTCTCATTTTGCTGTGACTATGCGTGTAAGCCGATGGCTGTGTTTGTGTGGGTTTGAATAACCGTTTTGTGTAACCAGACTCAAGTTTTGGAAACTTGTAATCCCGTTGGGGGTATTTATTTGTTTATTTATTTGTTGTTGGATTAATGTATTGTTGCATGAAGAACTATTGTATCATGTAATGTATGTTTGGAGATTTATATTCGGTTTTCCTTGAAAGAGCCATGATTGTTGTATTATCATTTGGGCTAGAAATTTGGGGCATTACATATATATTATGTAAATGTATAATAATTAGTTAGAATATTCTTAATTCCGTCAATCTACCAAAAATCGCCCAAACTGTAATTTGTCAGTCCACTAATCTGTCAACCCGCCATTTGGTTTATAATTTTACTCTCAAACCGCCTGAACCGCACCGCGCACACCTCTACATATGGCTAGGAGTGTAAAAATGGCTTGCGGCCTGTGGGTGGCATGAAGCCCACCCACGGCTTGGGGTAGGCCCAACCCGGTTAGGCCCAGGCCTAAGCCCAACCCGAGACCCTGGGCTTGTGCTGTCATTTTGAAGCCCGGCCCGGCCCGGCCTGCCTAGGCTGGCCCGTGGCTCATCCCATCGGCTTGCTCAAGGCACACTCAAAACCCAACTTAAGGTCAGGCTCGCTCGAGACCCAGTGTCATTTTTACTAGAAAATAATAAAATTTTGGTGGAAATTTTTTTTTATAAAAAAATGTTTAGGCCTGCCCAAACCCAGCCCAGGCCCACCGACTCGACCTGAGGCCCGAATATTCCCTAGGCCTGGGCCTAATTTTTTGGCCCGTGGGCTCGCCCGGCCCGACCCAAATTTTGGCGGGAGCCCTTGAGGCTCGACATGGGCCAACCCAAGCCCCGTCTTGTATGGGTCGGATCGAGCCAAATTTATGCCCCTAGAAATGGCCACTTTTTTTTTCTAGGGGCTCGCTTCCTTCCAGTCCGTAATTGGAATGGAGGGTATTGTTGGGCCCATGAGGGCCCACCATGGGTCCCGTTTCAATAATCTGAACCGTTCAATATGTATAACTCGTCAAGTGCTATATGCTTGTGAAAAATTACGTTGATCAGATATCGATAGCTACGTGATCAAATCAGTTTTGTATAAAAAAATATATATATAGTGAAAAAATAAACGGTTGACTGAAATTTGATCTGATGAGATAACTATCGATATCGAAACGGGACCTGTAATGGGTCTCACGGATCCAACAGTACTCTCCAATCCGATCACGGGCTGGTGAGAAGCCTAACCGTTTTTCTACTATATAATAGTAGAATTGAGCTATTTGCTACAATGATTTATTGTTCATACCATGTCTCTTACTTTTCCTTTTCCCATTTTGTCAATTTGTTGTTGTTGTTTTTTTTTTTTTTTTTTCTATTTCTGGGTTTGACGGGAAGTTGATCAACTTCCGATCAATTTGTTGTTGTGCTCTGCTTTTCTTGTAAATGTTTAAGTTTATTTATTTATTTATTTATACACCTACACCTCTATTTATATTAATATATATATATATATATATATTTTCTCAATACAAGAAAAATAAATATTCAAATCAATTTTTTTTATTAAAAGTTTAACATATGCCAAAAATAAATACATATCATTTAGTTGAAAATGAGTCAAAAATAATCATACATATCAAAATTTTGATTAAAATGTAACAAATTAAGGTTAAAAGGGTCAAAAAAATACATAAAATTTAGTTTTAGAGGGATTGCTAATGATTTTTAAAATTTCACAGTCGCGACACCCGATTCCCGATACGTACCGGCCGATACTACCGATACCGATAACTTGATCAATGTCCAGTGCGGAATCATCCAAAGCAAGGACTGAACTCTGTAGGAGATTTGTACCAAAGCAACAATTAAAGGGAATATTTATTAAAAGCAATATTTTTATTTTTAAATATATATAAAAAAATAAATAAATAAACTGTATCTCAACCACGTGTGCAGAGCTGCAATTGGAACAGAAACATAATTTGGCACATAAATATTGATATGATATGATAAATGGATATCTGCCCAATATTTTCAAGACAAGGGTTATGGCTACTGGTAAGTTCTTCTAACCTCAAGTAAAGTACTCTACTCACAATTGGAATTTATGGTTACTGGTAAGTTCAATGTCCTAACCTATGGCTACTGTTGTAGTTACTCTAAAAAACATTGAATGTGCATCACCGTTCTGCAAACATTAACTAAACAAATTTGTAGTAATTCTGGGAGTAGGTTACATAGAATATAATTAACTTTCAGGAATTTTACAAATGGTTATTCATTTCAGAATTTTATTGATCCTTGAAGTAGAGGTTCCTTCATGAGTCTATTATATCTGTGTAAAATTTTCCAAAGAAAATTCAAAGGGATCAATATTGGAACTTAAAAATTGTAAGGAATCAGTTAGCACCAAACTCAACCTCACAGATTCACCAATGGTGTCATGAATCAGTTACATCCATGTTCACCATCTCAACTCCTCTTCATCATCCTCATCAAATCCCTCACTACTACCAAACTCAACCTCATAAATTCACCAATGGTGTCTTGAAAACCATTCCAATCACCAAACCTCCCTTAACCCACCAACCCAACCCAAAACCATTGGATACCGTCTCAACCAATTGTGCCAAAACAGCTAAAGTCACCTCGCACATCAACTGTTCGACTCAATTCCTCACCCAAAAACCATTCTTTGGAACATTGTTATGACAAGATTTGTCTGCAATAGGATGCCCAATGAAGCCACGTTTTCCAATTTCCGAATAAAAGAAAACCAGAAATACCAAATGTGATTTCTATACTTACTTCTTCCCCAAAACTATATTACAATCCAAATGGTGGAAAAGAGAGACAGATTTAGGGGAAAAGAGACAAACAGAGACAAAAAGAAGGCGAAAGAGAGAGGACATACCTAGGGTAACGCTCCAATAGTGGATCGACGGTGGTGCTCGATGGCAGTGATGCTCCTTACCTACGACGATGGAGACAAAGCAACAGAGATTCAATATTAGGAAGGGGCAACCAGAGAGAGAGAGAGAGTGTGTGTGTGTGTGTAATAGAATGAGAGAGACAGAGGCGTGATAGACTTGGAGAGACACTGGCTTGAGAGATAACTTATTTCGTTTGTAACCCCCAATTTATTTCTTTTTTACCGACGAACCACTTTTTGTCGCCAATAAGATATAAAAGGCATATTTCACCAACTAAATATTCGTTGGTCGCCAATTAATTTATCAATCTCTCCAAAAATAATTTAGGAATTCTTTCAAAATTCGAAATTCTCCCTCCAAAACTTTAATTACAATTGTCAGCTAAACTTTTGGTTACCAAAGATAAAAATTAAATTTTTATTTTTCATTCAGCGACTAAATAATTTTAGTAGCCAAAACTAATTATACAGCGACCAAAAACTTTTTTAGTCGCTAAAAATAAATTTTTGGCGACTAAACTTTTTGTCGCAAAAGATTAAAAGTAAATTTTTATTTTTCATTCGGCAACTAAATACTTTTTGTAGCCAAAACTAACTATCACTACAAGAAATTGCATTTTTCGCAACGCAACAAAATATGTTGCTAAAAGGAAAAATTCGTTGGCAAAGAGTTTTGCCGACACACAAAGCTACGTTGGCAACCGGTAGGCAAAAGTGAGTTGGCAAAAGTTTTTGCCGACGAAATTATCATTGCGTTGGTAAAAGTAATGCCTTTAGCGACGAACATAGTCGTCGATAAAAGCCATCATCCATCGTCGGCAATTTACCTTGCGTCGGTAAAAGTCATTCAAATATGATGATTGTGTGGCACTTTTCGCGACACAAATTTGTATGGGCAAAAAATATACTTTTAGCAACAAAATATGCGTCGGCAAAAGTAAACTTTTGGCGACACATTTACGTCGGTAAATGTTTCCATTTACCGATGATTTGTTTGTCGCTAAAGCTTTACTTTTGGCAACGACAAATTGGCATTGGAAAAAAATACACTTCTACCAACACAATATGAGTGGACAAAAGTAAACTTTTAGCGACACATTTACGTCGGTAAATGTTGCCATTTGCCAACGAATTGGTTGTCGATAAAGCTTTACTTTTGGCAACGACAAATTGACATTGGCAAAAAATACACTTTTAGCAACACAATATGAGTGGGCAAAAATAAACTTTTGGCTACACATTTACCGACAAGTTGTTTGTCGAAAAAGCTTTACTTTTTGGCAACGACAAATTTGTAGCGGCAAAAAAAATTGAAAATCATTTATATTTTTTTATAAGATGTACATATTTACAAGAGGCATCCCTCAGGCACTACTATTACAAACTAATAACATTGATATTAAATCACCTAAAGTTGATGTGTAGGCCAAAAAACACTGTTGAAAAATATGCTTTTGGAAGCGGTGTATAAAATTTGAACGGGTAAACTCACTAAAATACTCAAATTCATCCAAATTATGAACCCATAGTAAAAACAACAAATAACAAAATGAAAACATGAAACTAATAACCCAAATTTGCAGCAGACCATCATCTAGTAGCAGCCCGCTTCACAATAACATTGCAGCAGCAGCAGCAGTAGCCCAGCAAAATTCTGCAGCAGCACACCGGCAGCAACAGCAGCAGCAGACCAACAAGTAACAACCATCAGCCAACAGTGCTCTGAAAAATGGGAGAAGAAAAACAGTTAATCATTGGGGGGGGGGAATTTGAGGAAATCCGCTCTAATAATAGCGGGGCAGGGTGGGTTTCCATTGGGTTCGGATTTAATTGCCATCCATAATTCTACCCAAAAGATTCCACCAATGAATCTCCTTCATCAACAAAATCAACAGAAAATAACTATCTACTATCTAGACAATTCAACAACCAAAAAGTAGCATGATTTAAAGACGACTGATTAAGTTGCCATTTCTTTGTAGACATCATGTGCAATACTGGGGATTATTTGATATCAAACCAATAACTCATCTTGTTCAAGTTACTATCTCGAGTACAAATGCAATGTATGTTTTTGGTAATTTCTCTAAGAACGTAATGAAGATGAACTCTTATGATTAGATGGATTAAAAAAATGGATACATTATTGTTAGAACTTACATTGTTCCTGCCACACAGGTACTGACATGAGTCATGTTGGCTGGGATAAGTTTTGGTAGACCAAAATCTGAAATTTTGGGTGTCAAGTCTTTGTCAAGGAGAATATTGGTAGCTTTGATATCTCGATGAACAATATGTGGTCGCACTTCCTCATGAAGAATGGCAAGTCCCCGTGCAATCCCAACGCAAATTCTAGTTCGTGTTCGCCAACTAAACTGGATGCTACTGGAAGATTTAGGTCAACAACCAGCAGATTGGGCTGCAAAGATTGTGAAGATTCAAATAAAAATCACTTCATGAGGAAATGCATCTGTCACGTAAGCCTACATAATTGAATCCTCTACTGCTAATGTCTGAGCAAATAACAAGAGAATCTCTGAAGGAAAGAATGTTATATTTAGACAGTTATGGAATTCTCTCACATTTAAAGGCAAAAACATCATTGCATTGGTATTTTCATGTCCATTTTCTCAGTTGAATTCTATTAGCAACATAGAGTACATACAATTTGCTATCTAATGGTGAATTATGTGAGGAGGTGCTTGCCACTCTGAATTGTTTTCTCTATGAGTATCATTCAATCAAAAAAGTTTCTTAAACAATCAAACTGTTTTTGGTTATTGATTAATGAGCTTGTTCAAACCAATATGGAGACTGGACAAGGCCTCAACTTGAAAAAATAGAAAATAAAAATAATCTGCCCCCTTGAATATTATTTATAAAGCATGCATAATTTAGGAAGAAATAAGAGTTTTTTCTAATTCCCCCCCCCCATTTGGGAGCCCCCCCCCCCCCGGTTTGGGAGAAGCTTTGTCTAAAATCAGTGCCAATACAAACAAAATCAAGCGAGATCCCTTTGGAATTATTAGATTCATGCTTTGTTGTAAAGATCTGTTTATGACTGAACCAGCAGGTAAAAAACTAATATAAGCGATCGATCAAAAAATAGAAGAATAAGAAGAGATTGAGAATTTACTACTAAAGGGAAACAGTTATTTGAAGTGGACCTTGATTGGTATTTAGCCTTGACTAATCACCCCAGAAATAAAGCAAAAATAAAAAATTTTAAAAATCATATTCAAAGTTAATGTAGGAAAAAAGTGTTGATCATTCATGGGTATAATTGGGAGGACCTCAAACAAGAATCAAACAAAGTCCCATGAAATGGTTAATTATACTGCTTTCAAATCATTGCCAGTGATTTGCCCATTATTTGTTAGCATCCACTACATTTCTCCAAATAGCAAAGAGGACCACTTGAAGAGAATCATCCACATGGGATTTGTGAGGTGTGTCGGGCAAATTGAATCCTGTACTGCTACTGCTAATGTCTTTGAGCAGATTCAGAGGATATCTGCAAGGTTGAGATAGTATGGAAAGATTGAAGGGAAGAATGTGTTTTATTGGTTTCAGAACCATAAAGCTTGAGAGAGGCAAAAGAAGAGGTTCACCACTGATATCCCCATGCAGAGAAAAGGTGTTGGTGGAAATGGAGGAGGAGAAGGTTGGAGATCTGAAGATCCTGTTTATAACAAGTACCCTAACATCAGCCCTGGTAAAGCATCAACAGTCAGCAACCTCTCTCTCTCTCTCTCTCTCTCTCTCTCTCTTTTCATTGTTCATTTCTCCACAATGCTTTTGTAGATGTACTTATGATATGTATATATTTATTGCTTTACATTTGTTACTTCGTTCAAATTATGCTAAAGACTAAGCTGGTTTTTCTATTTTTAATGTGGATCAATTAATAGTTTTATGAAGAACTTAAGTCTAGGTCAAGCAGTTGAGATCCTTGGGTTTTATTTATTTATTTATTTTCAAACATTCAAGTGGTTATACTCCTTAATTTCTAAGATATAAATTGGGGGAGATTCTAAGTTTGAATTTATGGTGAAGCATCGAATGTTATTAGTAGTAATTTAACTTACTACTAAATAATTAACTAACCAACTAATTTTGACACCCGGGAAAAAAAATATATGTACTTTCATACCATTTAATTTAATTTTTTTTTTTTAATATTAGTTTGGTGGTGTGTGTGATTTTGCAGCAGTTTCATCGCCATCTTCATCTTCATCACCTGGAATGCTTGCTGTAGGGCAAATGGGTAGCTATGGTGGGTATGGATCTGTGACTATGGAGAAAAGTTTTTGGGTAAGTTACACTATACTATACTACTCTCTAATACTGACTGAATACAGGTTGCTGTCATTATGTAGTTGGGCAGCCAGTGAACACAAAATCATGGTCCAGTTATTGTGTTCCTCTCTCAACCTAGATTCAGAATTGTCTATACATTCCAATCATCTAAAAACTAGCCTTAATTCAAAACCATCCAAAAAGAACTATCCTTAAGTTATAATTGTCCAAAAAGTTATAAACTACCCAAAAACTATATCATATATAAGTTTCTAAACAAGTGTTGTTAAAAAAAATCCTATAGTCAAATAAGTGTTGTTGTTCTGCAGTATACGGAGAAGCCACCATCCAATAAATTAGGATTTGACAGCTGAAACATTTTATAACTAGCATATTCATCTTTATAATTGAACAGAATCATTAACAGATCAGATCAACTAAATCCATGTCTGATCTGTTAACAATCAGACCTATTAGATTCTGATAGTAATTGAATAATCACATTTCAACCACAAATTATTGGATTAGATTCAGCTTAGAATACAATCCATTGATGAGCCTAGTCTCAGGTTTATATTCCTTTTCATTTTAAGACAAATTTTCCAAGGACATCTTGTATTTCTGATTTGCCTCACCGCCACCAACAATGATGCTAATTATATTTGTATCAGTGACCAATTACGTTGCTTAAAAAGATAAAATCCACATCAGGGACGTTCTTAGTTAGCTCGCAGAAAAATAATCCCAAGTCTACCACTACAAACTCAAGTGTTATGCACAACGTTCATTCAAAATCTTATAGTATGGACTTAGGGCCATATTTTAATTAAATGAGAGGAAAAGCAGAGGGTAATCAAAATATGAAAATACCTTGTGTATGCTGATATTATTTCATCTTTAGTGAAACTATCTTCTTGTGTGCCAATCTCATGCAAATATAGAATCAGGATTGCTGCAAGACTGCACCAAAAAAATTTCAATCCTCACCTATAACCAATAGTCCAATTTCCAATCAATAATTCAGAAATCATACCACATTTCTCAGCCAGGCATGACAATACTTTGTGGTTCCAAAGCATGCCCTGCAAAATGAAATCCCAACACCTACATAAGAGAATACAGAATAGAACATAAATCTTGAATGTAGCCATTTCCCACCTCAATGATCTACCATCCAAGGTAAACCCATGCACTGATTGAATACATCGAACCGCTTCCTCCTCCTTTGAGTAAGTAATATATCTGGGATAGAAATCACGTTTAAGAACAGAACAGTTGTAGTGAAGTCATGGTCTGTCCCTGCCCTTTGTCATCCAAGGCACTCTGCGAAATCGTTTCATTAGAGTAATTCCTAAAAAAATCCATGTTTCCTCTCACATGGAACACACTTCAATTAGACTTTACTATCACTTCTATTTACAAGGAAAGTGCTTCAAATGGAAAGCAGTAAACGATCACTCAATGCAAGAGACTGTTAATTCCTTTATTATCACCTAAAATTCCGTCCAATGTCTGAGCAACAAACAAAATTTAAATTGGATCAGTCAGTGAAAACTCATTAACCACTGTTACAATTCTAAATAAGCAGAAACTACATCTAAATAGGCTTAGGCAATCAAATATGCAAATTGATATTAAATTCTAAGCATTTCATGAACCAAACACTGTATGACATCAAGTGAGACTTGAAATTCAACTGAAACACATAAAAATCTTCACAATACTGATAAATTCAAATAAAATCTAACCCGAAAGGAGTGTTGAAAACAATTCAAATGAGGCAAAGACCTAAACAAGACATTTCTAGCAAAAAACAAAACAAGGTTCAAACACTCTGCTCTCGAAAGTCGAATTTCAAGACGAAACAATCAAAAGATTCAACGAAATCCGATCCACATAATTGAAAAACTTTAAAATGCCAAAAATAAAACCAATTCTACAGTGAAAACAATGGATCGCTCACTAAACTAGCAAAATCTATTGAAAACGATACGAAAACTTTTGCCAAAAAAAGCTGAAAGTGGAGTCTAACACTATGGCATCAACATAAGACTCTATATAACTTGCTTTAGTCCATTGAAAAATAAATCCATCAAATGATTAACATTTTCACCTTATCAAATTATGTAAGAAAAATGCTTGGGAGCACTAATTAGTGCTCCCACTAATTAGGTGGCAGTGGGTCCCGCCATTAATGATGTGATGTTTTGGTCTTGGAGTTGTGTTTTTTTTTTGTTTTTTTTACTTTTTTAATGCATTAGTGCTATTAGTGGTGATGTTTTTAGTGGGATGAATCATCGTTGATTATGTAATGACAAATGCCAAATAAGAAATAAAGAAATAACTCATAACCAGCATCCAAAAATAGCCAGAGGCATGCACACCAAAAAAAAAAAAAATTGCCACAAAATTGGAATAACAGTAGCATATCAACATACAAATGGAATGTTATATATCTTGGAACAGCTTTATGATTTAACTAGGTTTTTATGCGGCCAATCTTTGATTTAAGGAACTCTAGAAGAGTATTATGATGAACACTGAGTGGTCATCCAAGGAAAATTCACCATTCATATCCCTTTCTACCTAATGGGATAAAAATTGAGATCTGATTAGGTTCAAGGCTACATCTGTTCAAATTAGTCTTTAAGCAAACACAATTTTGGGGGCTTTGTCACTGATATTAAAGTTTGGCGGCAAGGAAAATTTATTCACCTTTTCTTTGAGGTGCAACAGAACTTCACCTCTGTTGTGTCCAAACTCGGCCCTTGCAAACTTCCAGGATGCTTGAGCTAGACCATATCCCAATACTCACTCACTCACTCTCTCTCTCTCTCTCCCTCTCTCTCTCTCTCTCACAGTAAAGAAAGGAAAATTGAAGATAAGAACATCAATAATAAAATTCAAGTGGATGACCTCCATATTATTTTTAGAATAAACTACAAATATACCTTATGAAATTTGTTTAAAATACATATTGTCTCTTGTAAATTTAGAGATTATAAATATCCCTTGTCAAATTTAATAGAATTAATAAATAAATAAATAACTCAACTAATCTTCTATACAATAAAATCTGATTTTTTGACAATTATGTATGCATGCATATCAACATTGCACGTAATGATCCTATATGACATTATAACATGAACTTTGCTGACTCAAAGCCTAATAAAACAGTAGACTCTGTTAACAAACATTTAGTATTTCCATCACATAAATATGAGATGCTTGACTAACTACTTACTCTCTTTTAAAGAAAAATAATGATAGTGATAGCATTAATAGTAATGATAAAAACACCAATAACAAAATCATCATAATAATAAAAATGACAGAAACAATAATAACAATTACAAAAAAAAAAAACATAGCATGGTCACTTCCATCCAGAAGATCATGAACAAAACTGATACTGACTTTGGTATCAATACTTAATGCAATATTTGAAACCAAAACCCACTCAGTAGTTGGACAACCCTGACCATAACCAGTAAAGCTTCATTGAAAACCCCAAAGCTATTTTTCCTTCTTTTTTTTTTTGGCAAATTAAACAGAATTGTTCAACTGCCAGTTGAAACACTTTGTTTGACCACTTAAAAGGATTGTGTGAATTGAATTGTGTTCAAGCTTTATATATTATTAGTTAACAGGTTTTGAAGTGTTTGCAAACAAAAAAAAATAAAAGACATGTTTTGAAATTTGAAATCTAGAATCATTTGACTGCTTGTTGAATCGGCAACCCTTTTGATTTGTTAACTAGATCAATTTCCATTCTTTCAAGACAGGCAAGTTCTGGTTATCAGCTTGAACACTTAAAGACCCACATGTGGCAACTGTTTTTCTTTCCAATCACCTTTAAAGGCTCAAATTCATCCAATTCAAATTTTGTTCATCTTCATAGTTTCCTAAATTAACCGCAAAATCACTCTCATTGAACCTTTTTTTTTTTCTATGCTCTGGTTGCTCGAAGCAGAGACCGATATTACATTCATTTCATGTTTACTCATTTGCATTTTAGGATTATAAAATATAAGAGGGAAAGCCCACCCAGAAGAAATAAAAATAAAAAATGAAGAAGAATAAGATGAAGATGAAGATGAAGATGAATGCATTGTGTGGGCAGGGGCGGTTATAGCAGATTTAGATGAGGATATGAAAGTGATTTTATCATTATCTGAATGTTTACATGACACGCCATCCATAAGAATATAGATGAAGAATTAGCAAGTAGAACCTCGAGGGTCTGACCTTCTTGAAAGTATGATCGACAATAGTGGAAGTATGATATGGACTCTGATGGATAACCCTTCAAACAATTGATGAACTAGAGTCTCAATGTAGACACCCAAACAAACCCAACACTCAAATAGATCCAACAATCCATAACATCAATCCATCGATCAAAATTCTACAAACCCATAATCAAAATTGCAGTTAAAAAAACCAAATAATTGAACAAATATGGAGTGAATGTGTGTGTTTGTGTGTGTGTGTGTGAGAGAGAGAGAGAATGGTGGAATTCGAACATACCTCAAGAATCGAACTAATATTTTTTCAGATCGAAGAGAAGAGAATGAAACCCTTCCCCTTCGAACCGTCGATCATCGTCGCCGCTCAAGCAGTCTCACCACCGAAGAGAAAGCACAGTTTCCAGGTTGAAATCTCGCCGCTGCGAAGTCCCCTTTTCGAACCCTCCCTTTTTCAGTTTTGTAACTTATACAATTTTCACCGAACCCAAAGAGTTTGTATTTGATTGAAAAATAAAATAAAATAAAATCTTGTAGTGTTAGCTAATAAACTAAAAAAATCGTGAGAAGGCTGTGCAAGAATGAAAGACAAGGGTTTACCCATCCTGAAAAAAAGGAGGGGAATTTTGAGGGGAAACTTTCCACTGCCTCAATTTTTTGAGGTAAAAAAAAATTGAAATAAAATAAATAAATATATATATATTTATATTTGTAAAAATTACAACCAATTTGAAAATTATAAAAATCAAAAATATATTTTTAAAATTAAAAAAATTATTTATGACCTCCTAAAAGATAAAATTGTACAAAAATAATAAGTATTTTTTAAATTTTTTTACCAAATTTTTTTTTAGTTTTTTAGAAGAAAAAAATTCTGAAACAAGTTTTTGAAAGTAAAACCAAACATATTGAAATTGATAATCTAACCACATTCTTTGGAAAAGTTTAAATTATCTCAAATTAGCCACCTCAACTTAAGAGTGTGTTTGGGCTTGATGGGTTCATTTTGTGATCTAATTTGATAATCACTTTAATTTTACAATTCAATAACTAGAATATTTAAAACTCTTTAAAAAGTTATAATAAAAACACAAATCACTAAATCACCTTATTTCACTAGCAAAACTTTTACCAACGATTAGTGTTGTTGTCGCCAAATGTTTTACTCTTTGCCCACGCTAACTTGTCGTCGCCAAAAGTAAGCACACTAATAGCGACGCATATTGTGTTGCTAAAACATAAGCCTTGTAGCTAAATATTTTGAAATTTTGGCGCCTACCAATTATTTTGCCGCCTAGTGAATGTTATGTTTTTTTAGCAACGGTAATAAATTGCGTCGGTAAAGGTCTACTTTTACCAACGAAATTCATCACTGCGCCGCCAAAAATATAGTTTTGGCTATGAAAAATTGACGTCGTCGCCAAAAGTAGTCGCTAAAAGTGCAATTTCTTGTAGTGTATACAGCAACCAAAAAAATTTTTAATCGCTGAAAATAAATTTTCGACGACCAAACTTTTGTTCGCCAAAGATAAAAAGTAAATTTATGTTTTTCATTTGGCAACTAAATAATTTTAGTAGCCAAAACTAACTATATAGCGACTAAAAATTTTTTTAGTCGTCAATTGTGACATTTTTGGCGACTAATTGTTTTTTTGGTCGCCAATAATCAATATACCCCAACTAAAAACATTAGTAGCTAAATATTGTACTTTTGCTGACTAATATCATTTTTGGTAGCCAATTCCATAAATTTTTTTTAGTCGCTAAATTTAACTACTAAAAGTGCAATTTGTTGTAGTAGTAATGCTAGGTATCATGAAAAGTCTTTCATGAAAATGATCATGAAAGATTTGTGACCTTTAGATTACACTTAAAATAAAGGGAAATGCTAGGTGTCATGAAGAATTTTCATGAAAACTGTCATGAAAACCATCTGCACCGTTAGATCAGGTACGTGTCTCATGATCCAACGGTGCAGATGGTTTTCATGACAGTTTTCATGAAACGTAGCAGGACCCTAAAATAAAACACCACACACTAATCAAGGTAATCTAAAAGTTACAAATCTTTCATGAACATTTTCATGAAAAAAATTTCATGATTCCCAACATTTCTCTTTGTTGTAGTGTTAACATGCATTGTCTTCATACATAACACAACCAATCAATTACATAAACAAAAAACTAAAGTTGTCTCTTTATGATTTTTTCTCATTTGAATGAAGCACATTTTCATTTTAATCGTTGCAGAATAAATTAAATAATACTAATTTGGTTTGTATCTTATACATTTTCTTGTAGGATTTCCAATTATATTCTCGGTCTCATGCCAGCAAAATTAGATTTTCTATAGATTCATCATGTATCTTTTTTTAATATGTGTATATATTTTGTAAATATTGTACTGTTTATTAAAATATTTGTATATATTTTCAATTTGGTTGAAATTATTGTTAATCGTACTCTTCAATTCTAATTTGTTTTCATATATCTTTCTCACAATATTATTTTGATAACTTTTTTCGAGTGTGTCTGGCCTGTAATATATACTAAAATAGATGCAACATAAAAAAATAAAATAAAAGAAGAAGAAGAAGAAGAAAAAAGCCATATGCCAATTGATCACATTAACCCCCACATTGATCAGGAAATACAAAAAAGAGTCCAAAACGAAAATGCAAAGCAGATTTATTTTTGGAGGAAGATGAAGGGTAACTATTTATTTTATGCTCTCAAACCAGTTTGAGAATAAAGGAGGTTACCTAGAATAATTTATTTAAGGGTGAGATGTGGGGTTTAGGCAGTTACAGCAGTTTCAGGGTTTGAACAATTCGTTATTATCGTAGTCCTCGGCTGAAGCAATATTGCTTTTGTCGAGAAGAATTGCTATCATGGTATAGCGACTGAGTGTAGTAAAGTTGTTTATTATGAGGATCTGGTAATTGTCATCTTTAAGCTGAACGCTGTTAGTGAAGTTTTCTCCATCTTTCGAAAGCTGAATCTGCTTGGACATAAACCCCCATTCGTTCTCCATGCTCACTATCAAACCTTTTGGTGTAAAAGTGTTTCCACCGGTTATTTTACGGACTTGTTCCTCAATGTATTTGAACCTTGCCGCTTCCAAGACCATCTGAATGACCACAAGAACCGGTTCGGCTACGCTCCCACCGTACCACAACCTTGTGGTGGCGTTAGCTAGGGGACTTGGTCCCAGAGGGAGCTTGTCCCTCGCCGTTGACTGCTTCTCAAGGCTGTCATAGCTGCTGGTGTAGGTTAAGTTGGTTTTTTGGGTGCCGTTGAATAAATTGTTTAGTTCAAGTGTCGCAGCGCCTTTGAAAAAGTAGGATTTGTTACTTGCACCACTAAAAGCCACCACATAAAGGTTCACCACATCTATTGCCAACGTGGCGGTGACGCCATTGATGAGATGGACCAGAACAAACCGGTTCCCAACCGACACTTTACTTTCGGGGTTCAGCACTGGTAGACCATTGACTGTGTCGGTTCCCCGTGACACGATTTCTCGCAGTGCCCCTATGAAGTCTCTGTATGTGGCCACGGTGGCACCCGCCACATTGAAGGAGATGGAGGAATAGGCCTGGACTTTGCCTTGGATTCCAAGGCTGAAAATTGCGAGAACAATGTAAATTTTCCTAAAGACAATTTGTTGAGATTATTATGGATAAGTAAAATGGCTTTCAATGGTTGGTGAAACATTTAAGTTCAAAAAAAGACATACCTTGTACCTATAATTTAATAACAATGCTAAGTACTCAAAAAAATATTTTTTTAAAAAATAGTGAATGATTGAGATACATTTTAAATATGAATCTCACTATACATAATTAAATTTAAACCGCACATCAACATTTTGATTAAAGTTCTAAACAATTTTTTGATTTTTAATACATAGCTTTTTTGATAATTTTAGGATATTAATAAATCCGTAGTCAAACTTGGGTGACTCCACAGGTGGTAGAGGCTGTGAAAACATCAAATTTAGAGATTATTATTATTTTATTTTATTTTATTTTGGAATTTGGATATTACTAACTATCAAATTTTGAATATTTGATGTGTTATTAAAGGGGCCATTATTTTAAAACTCGATTTCATAATTTTAAGATTGTGAGTTTATATTTGAGGATAATCATTTTGTACAAATAATATCAAAAGTTCAATATATATATATATCTAATCCACACCTCCCAAACGTCCATCCAGTGGGTTAAGTGCCTTTTTTTTTTATTTTTTATTATCTATTTATCTGATGTGTTATCAATACAATGCTTTAATGGGTTTCTTCAAACATACATGAGTGACACATCTGATAATACCTACAATTTACGCCTCATTTCGCAAGTAATCTTTTTAGTCAAAAAATTAATAAGTTACTAAAAAATCAATAATTTATATTAAAAAGTTAAAGATTTATTTTTTTTTCTATTTTTTGCACATCTTTTCGTAAAAAATCAAAAAGTCATCCCTAATATACTAGTTTTTTTACATCATATTTTAGTCAAAAAGTCAAAAAATTACTAAAAAAGTATGTTCCCAAACGAAGCCCAAGTACTCAAATTTGATCAACCTAACATTTCTGTTTTATCATTAATTATAGTTGTATAAGCTACTATGTACACCGAATCAAGGGGCTCTAACCTAGTTTAGTAATCTTTTGGTCAGTCTCTTTGAAAGGAGTCCCTTTTAAAGGAGAGATAGTGGTTCCACTATTAAAAGTAGAATATAAAGTTAAGATTTCTTACAAGGTGTATGGGTGTTAGTTTCAACTCTTATGATATGTTAACAATTAATCAACGGTTTTCGGCGATCTAAACGAAAAAAAAAAAAACAAAAAAACAAAGGTTACTAGTACACCCCTGAAGATGCATATGATGTGTCCTTTCGTAATTATACTACAAAAATGTGTCACGAATTACAAAATGACACAATATTTCTGACCAAAGAAGTATGATTCTTTCTGTTCATCATAAAAAACATAACAAAAATCATAATATTTGTAACATGACTACAAGAAGCAGTAACTAAAGGCTTTATTACAATGCACCACCCATCGCAATTTCACCACACCTTTATAATTTCTTACAGTAAAGGATGTGCATAGAAATAATTTTTTTTTTTTTTTTTTTTTTAAAGAATGAGAAAATGTGAATGAAATATAAGTTTTTTTTTTCTTCTTCTTCTTTTTCCTTTTCAAATTCTATCCAAGAAATATTACGAAAACACATGTATTTTATTTTTATTTTAGGCTTTTAGCTAAGACAATTTGATTTTGTTGTTACTAGAGAAAAATAATAAAAGTATAAAATCCATTTTGGCACCTTTGAGCTTCTAAGCCCTTAAAAAAACAATTCAGTAGGTTTGGTTTCAATTTTCTAAAAATTAAGTTTTTTATTTTTTGTTTTTAATAAATATTTTTAAAAATTAATAAATACACAAAAATATGAAAAATGTACTGAATTTTTTTTTTTTATATTTTGGTATTTAGTGATTTTTTTTAAAACAAAAATTCACAAATATTATAGTTTTTAAGTGTATTTATGTTAGATGTGTCTAAAAATTAAAAAAATTACTTAAAATATCAAAAAAATTCTGTGAAAACAAATATATATATATATATAAAGTAAAAAGTGAAATTTTCTGAAAACTAAAATCAAGCAATTTTTTTTTTTTTTTTTTTTTTTTTTTTGAGGGGGGGTTTGGGTCTTAAAAAATGTGAATCATTGATTTTTTTCCATTTTTATAAACTGAAACTTTTATTTCTTTAATTCATTGTTTTTTTTTAGGTCTTTAAAAATATGGATTATTTGATTTTTTTTTTCCTTTATATAAAAGGATTTTTATTGATAAATCTCATTTAGAAGTGTTTTAACCCAATAAGTCCATGAAGGAATTTTTTAACTCATTTAGTCCCATGTATGTATAGTTATATTCCATGAAGTCTTTTTTCTTGATTTAGGCCTAGTTTGGGAAGACTAAATAAGTGCACTTTTTGACTTTTTATGAAATATGGGTTGGGTTTGGGTTTGGATTGGGTTTGAAGTGATGTGTTAGAGAGGTGATGTGACTTAAATAAGATGATATGACTTAAATAGAATAGTGACTTTGTGACTTTTTGACTTTTTGTCTTTTTTCAATCATGCCAAACTTGGCCTTACACTATTTTCTTGGACACTTATGCTCTTATATTTAATTTTGATACCCTTATAAATATTTTTTGAACGGTTTGCAATTTTATGATGTGAACATTCATATTTTAAAATTCACATTGGTAGGAATGTAAAATTGGCCTGTGGGTGGCCTGAAACCTGCCCGCGAGCCGGGGCGGGCCCGGCCCGTTGACAATGTGAATATTGACATTGACATGTTAACATTCACATTAATAGGAGTGTAAAATTGGCCCGCGTCCCGTGGCCGCTCGAAACCTGCCCGCGGTCCATGGGTCGCCCGGGACGGGCCCGGTTCGGCCCGTTAACAATGTGAATATTCACATTGACATGTTAACATTCACATTGATAAGAGTATAAAATTGGCCCGCGGTCCATGGGCGGCCAAAAGCCCACCCGCCGCCCAGGGCGGGCTCGACCCATTGACAATGTGAATATTCACATTGATATGTTAACATTCACATTGATAGGAGTGTAAAATTAGCCCTCGCTTCGTGACTGCCCGAAACCCGCCCACGACCCATGGGTGGCCCGGGGCAGGCCAGGCCCAGCCTGTTGACAATGTGAATATTCACATTGACATGTTAACATTCACATTGATAAGAGTATAAAATTTGCCAGCGGCCCAGGGTGGGCCCGACCCGGCTCGTTGACAATGTGAATATTCACATTGACGTGTTAACATTCACATTGATAAGAGTGTAAAATTGGCCCGCAGCCCGTGGGCGGCCCGAAGCCCGACCGCAGCCCGAGGCAGGCTTGGCCCGACCCGTGACAATATGAATATTCACATTAACATGTTAACATTAACATTGATAGGAGTGTAAAATTTGCCCGCTGCCCGAAGCTTACCAGCGGTACGGGGTAGGCCCGGCCCGGCCCGGCCTGTTGACAATGTGAATATTCACATTGATATGTTAAAATGCACATTGATAGGAATGTAGAATTGGCCCGCGGCCCGTGGGCTGTCCGAAGCCCGCCCACGGCCTGGGGTAAGCTTGTTTTGGTCCAGGCCCGAGCATGTCCGAGACCCTAGGTTAGGGCCTAGGTCATCACTTTGAAGCCCGGGCCGGCCCATCGGCCCGCTTAAGGCCCATTGAAGGCTCCGTCCGAGGCCCAGCCCGGCTGAGGCGCAATGTATTTTTTTGTGGAAAATAATAAAATTTTGGTAGAAAAAATTAAAAAGAATTTAAAAAAAATGGCCAGGCCCGCCCAAGCCCGACCTAAGCTCGAGGCTAGGCCCAGGCCCAGGCCCACTGGCCAGACCCGAGGCTCGATCCATCGGCCCGTCCAAAGCCCGAATACCCTTGTGCCAGGGCTAGGGCCTAGGCCTAATTTTTTGGCCCGTGGGCCGGCCCGACCCGGCCCGGGAAAGGCTCGTTTAGGCCCAGGCTCGAGCCTAGTCCGAGACCCTAGGCTAGGACCTGGGCCATAACTTTGAAGCCCGGCCCGGCCCGGCCCGGTTAAGGCCCATTCAAGGCTCGGTCCGAGACCCGGCCCGCGCCGAGGCCTAGTGTCTTTTTTTGTGAAAAATAATAAAATTTTGGTAGAAAAAATTTAAAAAAAATGGCCAGACCCGCCCCGGGCCGCCCACGGGCCGTGGGTGGGTTTCGGGCAGCCACGAGGCACGGGCTAATTTTACACTCCTATCAATGTGAATGTTAACATGTCAATGTGAATATTCACATTGTCAACAGGCCGAGTCGGGCCCGCTCTGGGCCGCTGTCTAATTTATACTCTTATCAATGTGAATGTTAACATGTCAATGTTAATATTCACATTGTCAACAGGCCGGGCCGAGCTGCCCCGGGCCGCCCACGAGCCGTGGACAGGTTTCGGGCAGCCACGAGGCACGAGCTAATTTTACACTCCTATCAATGTGAATGTTAACATGCCAATGTGAATATTCACATTGTCAACGGGCCGGGCCGGGCCCGCCCCGGGCCGTGGGCGGGCTTTTGGCTGCCCATGGGCCGCGGGCCAATTTTATACCCTTATCAATGTGAATGTTAACATGTCAATGTGAATATTCACATTGTCAACGCGTCGGACCGGGCCCGCATATGGACCGCGGGCGGGTTTTGCGCCGCCACAGGACGCTGGCCAATTTTACACTGCTATTAATGTGAATGTTAACATGTCAATGTGAATATTCACATTGTCAATGGGCCGGGCCCGCCTCGGCTCGACTCGAATTTTTTCGAGCACCCACGAGGATCGACATGGGCCGGGCCCCTACACATTGACGATATGAACATTCACATTGACGGTGTGAACATTTACATTAGGGGTATTTTGGTAATTATGTCACTCATAGGACTTATTGAAACATAAGAAAATAATGTGAACTAAATGGAACATAAGTAGATGAAAAGGATATTTTGGTCTTCTTATATCAAATAAGACCTAATGGAATAGTCAAAAAGAATATGGGTTAGATGGAATAAAGCTCTTAGAAAGTGGATTTATCAAAAAAGCTCCTTTATATAAACTGAAATTTTTGTTTTTTCAATTCGCTGTTTGTTTCTTCTTCTTCCTTTTAGGGTTTTTTTTGGGGGGTC